TAAAAGAGAATCCAAGATTATTCCTGGAAGATAGACAAGCACTTTAAATACATCACACTTAATTGACTAGTTGGTGTAGTTTTCCACTGTCCAACTTCCCTTAGCCTACTTATAAAGAAAAACACAAGCCTGACAAAACAAACAAGGCCAAACAAAAGCCTCTACCATTTTAAAGCAGATTTTGGTGAACAATTATATGAAAACCAGTTCCTTTAGTTTCTTTAGAGACTTACTTTTTAAAAGTATCATTTCAATTGAGTCAGGGATGTTGGCACAGGATGGAAAATTCTGTTGTCTGCTTGCTTCTTTTAAGTAATACAAGTCAAAGACTTGCTTAGAACTCAGGGAAGAAAATAATGATTATGTGTTGCTAAGTGCTAGTTAGTAGCAAATTCTTGGGCCACCAGGACCCATGACATCACTCATAGAAAGAAGAACACTTACACTTTTGAAAAGGAATTCTTTTGTACAGGATGGTTACCAATGAGAGGAACAAAGCCAAATAAGGCAGGAGGAGAGACCTTTTGGCTTTGGAGAGCACATTCTTAGCATCCACTTCTGGAGGGCAATTATCAGCCCCTTTTAACTAAAGTCAAGCCCCAATCCATGAGGTCTTTCTGCATTTCTTCCTGAATCTAATTCATGTCGACAAATGTTTGTTATTTGCAAATGTATATATTTTTAAAAAGCCATATAAAGTTGTATTTGTCATATCCAACAAAATGTCTTGAATATATATATATATAATGTATATATATATATCTGAAGTATTATATATGTATATTTGTTAAATCTAGGTAATTGACAAATGCTTTACCTCACATAGTTTATCATTTTCCTGGTGAGTACACTTAATATCCAGGTTTTTAGCAATATCATCTTATTACTGTTAGAGTGACTATAATAAAAAAGATAGCAGTTTTTGCCAAGGATGTAGAAAGAAAAGAGTCCTTGCACACTTGATGAAAATGTAGTCATGCAATCCTCAGAAAACTAAAAATGTAACTATTATATGATCCAGCAACTAGTGGGTATACAGCCAAAGGAGACGAAATCAGAATGTTGAAGAGATTCTCTGCACTCCTGTGTTCATTGCTGCTTATTTATAATAGCTAAGATATGGAACCATACTGAGTATGAGCTATTCTTACTGCAGAAAATTGAGTGCTCATACTGTTAAACACTTTTCTTCTTGATGTACCTGCCCAGGTCAGGAAGTGGTTCACTGCTTCATAGTGTTCTCTAATGTGCATTGTAGATATTCATAGGTTTGTTTTCTCCCACACATGCTCTCAGAAACCACACACATAATTCTGCGGCAGTTCTGTAGTATGGCAGATCATCATCGTTGCAGATTTCCATGCATTGCTGAGCTAGTACATAGATCAGCTGTGTCTCATCAACACCAGTAGCACAATAATGGTCATGTTTGAGCATAACCAGCAACACCCAAAACTGGAGCTGTAGAACCTACAATATGTTTGACTTCATGATTGTGTGCCTTCCTGTGTTAGCTGTGCTCATACTGAGAGTGCACCCACAGTTGAAGGCCAGATAGCAGGTAATTTCTTTTGCCAGCTTTTGCTGTAAACCAAAAATAGAAGAAATTTTGTATTTTTTTTTAATATGAAAGGGGAAGACATTTGTTCTTGTGGTACTTAGCTTAGAGATATGGTTTACTGACTTTTTAAAAATGTCATCTTCAGTAAGCTATTCTTTATTTCCTTTCCAACTCATATTCCTTAAATGTTCTACACTCCAAAAGAAGTGCACAACTGAGACTAGGATTTATAAAATAATACTTTATATTATTTAGAGCTTTTAAGGTAATTTTAAAAGTCAGAGATAATTGGCAGAATAAGTTACTCCTATTTATAAGGTAAGTAGGCTAACATTGCCAGAGAGTTGGTAGTCACTGATGTGTTTTGGGAAGAATAATAAAAGGCACATCTGTTGTCTATGGAGGCTGAGGAACAAACTTCTAATTCATATACATGCAGAGACCAAGTTTTACAATGACCTCATTGACAGATATCAGTGCATATCCTTTCACATGACCATGATTAGGGTCAATTATTCCACATCAATTTTGCTAAACATATTTAGTTGACAAATTTAAATAATATTTGATCCTCTTTCACTTGTATCAAGCATGACCTACTGCAGAAATAAAATGGCAAGAAAATATAGTTAACCTTTGGAGGTAAAACAGTTTTATCTGAAATCCATCTAATATTCTAATTTCTCTCCTAGGGAAGCTTTTGAACTATGGTGTAATTTCTGCTTTTCTTTAAACAACAGCTTTTCCTGCTCTGGGTTAACCATAGATAAGGGTCTCTCACTGCATTTCTCTTCCCAATTCACACAAACACATGTCTTTGCTCACAATGTGTAACTCCATCTCTTGGCCTACAATATTTGTGACCTCATCCTCGCCCAGCCTCAGCTCTTGAGCCCCATCGCCCACTGCCCCCTGAGAAATAGACTCTTCTGGTCTCTGACTGTGCCAGTTTACTCCTGCCCCTGCTCTTGATAACCACTCTTTCTTCCCCACTCATCCCAGTCTTCTGCATGGCACTCAATCTTCATATCCTTTAGGTCTGGCTGTAAGCATCACCCTTTTAGAGAGCTCACTTAGGGAGGCCACTTAGGTGAAAACCTATCCCCTTTGTCTCTTCATCCTTTCAATTTGCTGAATACTTTTTCATCATTAATACTACTTGAAATTCCCTTTGAAATGTATTTTGATTACTGGTTTACTCAATGTCTCTCCCCTTTGGATTCCTTGAGGGAATTTCTTCATTTATTATTATGTGTTTGCAGGACATAATGATTGCATTATGGTTTGGGGGCATTTATATCTATTTTTAACATATCTTTATTCTTTTATTATCCCCTTCCCTTGCCATCTCCCTACTCCAACTCTTGTTTTCCTTCCCATTTGCAAAAGCTCTATTTCATTTTATTTTCTTCAGTTCTCTTTTTTTTTGCTCTAGTCTCTTCCCTCTTTACCTTCCTTCCATCTTTTGTTTTCCTTAAAAAACAAACTCCCTAATTCCTATGATCTGTCTTTTATTTTGCTCTTTATTTATAGCTAATCCATCAATACATCCCAACATGTAGAACAGTGCCCAGTGTGTTATGCTTGATACATGAATAAATTCTCCTCAAAATGAAAACAGAAGCTTTTCTCTAGAGTTAAGATCCTCTTCACATAACCCACATCCTGAAGACAACCACAAAGTCAGGGTTATCAAGTACTTCTTAGAGGAAGACATAGAGTGGAAAATATGCGCTGTATTACATTCATGTAATATCAAAACAAGTTTTCATTTCTTTGATTTTGTCTCAAGCCTCTTGAGCTTTGCTTATCCTAGGTTTTCTCCATCTAACTGTCGCTTCCTACAAAAAGGCTTGCAGCACTGCTTCAGGAGTAGAATTTTCACTTATTTATCCATGTGACACCTGACACAGTTTCTTAGGTTGTAGCTAACAGTCTACTTCTTTTAGTATTTCATCTTTAAGACTCTAAGACTTTTTTCTGGTTCAGAGATGCACCATAAATTCTGAAATTTTTTACCTGTATCTAAACTTCAAATTTGCCTACTTTGTTTCTCAGAAAAATAATTAGTGGAGGCAGTGTTATAACATGATGAAGATCCAATATAGATGTATGAGGATAAGTTATCTTTATCAAGCTACTCACTTTCTAAACTTCTGGGTTTTTTTTCCTGAAATCAAAAAATTGGGCATAATACTTCTCATTTCACAGGATTGTTGAAGGTATTAATTTAATCATGTGAAGAGCCTAACATGCGATTATATAAAAAGATGTACAATACACATTAGTAAAACCGTTGTGATTATTATAGCAGCATTATTATCAGAACCTAATAATCTCAGTAACTAAGTTATATGTTTATTTATTTGACTTTGATGTTTTCTATGAACAAGAAAACTAATGTTGCTAGGATAGCCTTATAATCCATTTCAAAATAAAAATTTAGGTCTAGAAAACAATTGCAGAATAATATATGAACCCTATGTATAGATGTTAGGACAGCATAAGCCAGTGCTTAACCAGGAAAGAATTTTGGGAAGAAATAGCCCTTCCACCTAGCTTGGGGAAAACAATGACCTCTATCTGCAAAGAAGAGTGGGTACACATTTTTCCTGGTGGGCAGGGCAGGGGCACAACAAGCACAAAGACAATGGGGCAAGCAATGCAGATCTTCTGCCTCCAGCATTCTAAAATGTTGGTGGCAGCCACTGTGAACATCTCTTTTTAGCTCTCTGGAAAAGAGACATCAAAGAAAAAAGAGAACTTCTTGATCTTCTTGCAGTCTCCAGAGGCCTCATTTTGGTTTCAGTTCCTTTGATTCAACTTGAGCAGAAGTTTCTCCACCTGACAATAGTATGGCAGTTTAGAGCACTACCCTAACTGAGGCTTCTTCAAGACAGCCTAGAGATATGTTTATTTTGTCCATTTTAGTTGCATATAAGAACTCAGAAATGTTGAGGCCTGGAGTAATCATCACTATTTATTGAGCACATATCATGCCTCATGCATTTTGCCACAAACTGAGGGTGCAGCAGGGAAAACACAACTTTCTGTCCTTATGAAATTTGCTATACAGTAAGAAGAACAGAAATAAAAATTATTGAATAAAAAGTATAGTGTTAAGTATAATAAAAATAAAATTAGGGCAAAATAGTAGAGTGACTGGGTTGCAGATACTTCCTTTGAAATGTAGCTGCTCATGGAAGACAACTGTGGAGAACTGAATAAGGAAAGTATCACATCACAGAGGTGTGGAAAGAGCATGCCTAAAAACGAGGAAAAAGCACAGACCTCGTCCTGGGGAGGGAAAAGCTTGGGATACTCTGGGGGCAAAGTGAGGGACGGAGTCAGGACTCTGCAATGAGAAAAGATGAAAGAGGAAATGGGAGCAGGATGTGAGGGGGGCATGTAGGCAGAGACCAAGCCACAACCACACTGAACAGTTTGAAACTTACCTAATTAAAATAGACAGCATCTGGAGAACTGTGAGCAAGGAGTCTTGTGATTTGATTTATGTGTTAAAACATCAATCGGCAGGGATGCAAAGGTAAGAAAAGAGTTTTCTTAGGAAGCTCCAGAAAGACCAGGGATGACAGAGTCTTATGTTGTGCTCAAAATGCAAAAGCATAGAGTCTGATCAGCATTGGATATACTGTGGATATAGAATATTCCTGCTGATAGGAGGAATAAAAAGTGAAGAAAACAGAGCCTTGAGAAAATAAAGTGAATAATTAAATAAAAATTTGTATTTCTCTATTTTATTCACTGATAGAAGATCAGACACAGAGCAGAGGAAATGAAAAGTTTAATTTGGGAAACGTTGAATTTAAGGGCTTATTAACATCTGAGTGAGCGGGTTTAATGGTTATGAGTTCAGAAATTGGCAGGTGAAGAAAGTATGGCTTTTTATTATGACTTAAAGACATGGGGCTGGATACTGGAAGAGAGAAGTAACTTATTCAAGATTCATAGTCAGTGATAAAGCTGAACTTGAAAATGAATCTTCTGCTACTGACCCACTTTCTCTTCCTGCCACAAATATTTGGGTATATGTACGGTTATGAGTACTGGAGTAGAATGTGGGAAAGGAAAGCAGAAATATTTTAGAATTACATACAAAAGGGTGAGTAGTTTTCCAATATTTGTAGGATGCACAAGATCATGGTTTCTTTTCTTATTTTCTTATGTAATTAAGCTTCTCTAAGTATGCTGTATGTACACATAATTTAAAAAGCCTCTGGAATGATAAATCCATAGAATTTACTAAGTATCACTGTAACAATAAATAAGTACTTTTTATTCCAAAGTTGTAAGAATATCAAAGATTTTGAAATATCAAATGGAATAATTTGACTTCAGGTTAAATGTAAGTTGATTAGAATTTAAAATACAAAGATGAATGTTTAATCAATAATTGCAGCAGATATTTATGAATTAAATCAATAACATTTGAATAGGACAAATCAGGTTTAATAGAAATGGCTAGGTCAAGTAGTACTTGATGTCTATTGCTTAGAAAAAAAAGGATTTAAATTAAATTAATCTACTTAAACCAATGGTAAGGTAAAGGAAAAAGAGTCTGAAATAAAAAGAAACAAGTTAATTGTATTTAAATAACAATGCAATGGTTACCCTGAATGGAAAGTAAGAGTGTGAAGGACAAAAGGAAGGAGGAGTAAAAGTAGGAACTTAAGCAAGTAGTTTATAAACAAAGTATTTGGAGTAGGCTGAGTTGGGGAAGAAGTACAGATAAACCCTAAATGCTTGTTCAGCAGAGTAGTTTATTGTAGGGGTTTGAGTAAACAATTATATAATTGTTTTAGACATATTACAGACTTGAGCAAATGTGTAAACACATTAATGTTGTTAGGATCCAAGGCTCATATTGTGAAAGAACAGGCATCCAAATATAGTACAGAGAAGAGCAAGGAAAACCCCTGTGAGAATTGGTTGAAACTGGAGATGTCAAAGTTGTCTAATATTTATATTAGACATGTATCATAGAACATCTTTCTGTGCTAAAAGAGCTCTCAGTAACGCGATGGGTAAATGCTACATGGACACAGAAGCCAGAATGAAGGAAATCTTGCAGCCAAATGTGGACAATTTCACACCAAAATGATTAAATCAGGAAAGAATTATAAGTCACTGAAAAAATGTAAGTTCATGAGTCAACACTAGAAACAGCCAGAAGACTAGATCAATGTATAGTTAAATAAATGTAAGAGAAAGGATTTCTTTTGCTTGTAGCGAATGGGGAAGACTTGTGTAAAGTGGAGGAAATGCCTTTGAGGAATCAACTCTGTAATCTGTAAAGACTGCACTAGAGGAGAGCATCAGTGAATGTGAACATTAAATAATGGGGAATTTTAGATGATGAGTCCACATTATACAGTGCAGTAAGGAAGCACCACCTTGATAAGGCTACAAAAATTAACATCATATGAGTGAGACAGATGAGCGTCATGTGGTTCTACATATGTTAATATAAGAAAACAACATCACTTAGGTAGTATTCCAGTAGAAATTGCATAATCACACTCTAACTAAACATATCACAAATACCAAGGAAGAAATGTGCCAGTAAAATGAAAAAATACTATATACAACAATATATTCTGTAATTCAAAAGTTGTGCTGGGTAGTTTAGTGGTAGGGCACTTGCCTATTATGTACAAAGACTTGGAATCAATCATCAGTGTTACCAGAAAAAGAAACAGAAAATAAATGCCAACCTAAGTAGCAAAGAAAATATTTTTAATGTTTTTACCATAAAGAAATGATAAATATTTGAGGCGATACATATATTGACCTTTATTTGAACATTACATAATTACATAATGTTCTATCTGAACATCACAGGTACCCCATAAATAAGTACAATTGTTACATTTTATAGGTATCAGTAAAAATAAATTTAAACTAACAAAGTTTTTAAAGAAAATAAAAAAGTGTTGGGGATAGGTTATGCTCTTTAACAACCTTAATTTCTTAAAATAAAGAAATTTTATAGAAATATAGTAGAATAAAAGAAACTAAACAGACATGAGTTTCAAGAGATCTACTGTACCTTTTGTTGACTACAGTTAATAACATTGGGTGGTGTTCTTTAAACTTACTAAGAGAATAAATTCTAAGTGTTCTCATCACAAATAAAAATAAATATAAAGGATACTGTACATACTTATTAACTCAAATTAGCCATTTGACAATTTAGATGTTTCTAAATAATTGTGTAAAATAAATTACACAATTTTACATGTCAGTTAAAAAGAAATTCAAAAAGAAAATACAACTAAATGTGCCAATTGACTCTAAATTTATTAGAGGGAAAATGTTATAAAGTTTATAATTAAATACCCAAACTGAGAATATTAACAAATATTAGATAAAAGTAGTATATCAATGAAACTTATAAACAAATGAATATAACTGTTATATAAGAATAAGTAACTTATTTTCAAGTGGTTTTTTATATATACTACATATATATAAAAACCACAAATATAATTATATAAATATATGGTAATAGAAAGAAAGAGATTAGGGGAACACATGAGCAAATTATGATTTGAATGGGGCAGCATTAAGACTAAACAAACCTGAGTAAGGCTATACAGGTCTCTGTTAAACTAATTTAGTTTTACAATTTTTGAACTTAAAATAATTTTTTAATAGAAAACTTGAAAGCATCAGGAATATCTGGTGAGCATTTAAAAAAAATTATTGTCATCAGATTTACGATTTTATCCAGAAAGCAGCCTACTTGCATAAAGTGTTTTTGTTTCTCTTCTAATTTAGATCTGTTAATCACAACAAAGCACTAAGGCAAGCTGCTGAACATTTTTTTCTTGTGCAAAGTGAAACTAAAATGAAATAAGATATACTCATAAAGTTACACTAATTTATTTTGTCTTCAAAATCTAAACAAACTACTGGGATAATCTTCAAAAATCATAGTACTATTTTTCTTTCCAAGGTGAAAAGAATTTTGAGAATATAATAACTACTACACATTGAAAAAAAACCCTACAGGCTTATAGTGACAAATCTGTGAACTAAAATAATAATTAACTGTGTAAATTTTGTGTTAGTTCATATAACAACACCAGGAGGCTACTCTGATTTCTGATCTGACTTATGTAGTTCCAATATTAATTTATCATTTCCTCATAAACTTGGATTTGAATATACAAATCTGCTATATTTCCCAGTGATATTAAGGATAAGAAAGCTGTTAAATATAACATTAACTACTACAACTTTTATATGTGGGTGAGGTAAGATGGGTGAGTTTAGAGCCTCACAGCAACTAGGCAAATGGTCTGCCACTGAAATACATTCCCAGTCATTTTGTATTTTTTTACTTTGAGACTGGCCTTAACTAAATTGCTCTGGCTAAACGCATAATTGAAATATTCCTGCATCAGCCTTTCACGTAGCTAGGATTACAAATCTACACCAATATAACCAGCTAAAATCTGTCTTGGTATATATGCACAATGATGAAATAGGAAACTAGAAGACATTTTGGAAACATTAAACCCAAATTTTAGGTTTTTTAGTGTTTTAGTTCACTAAAAAACACAATCAACACTGTCAGTGATAAAACAGTGTCAAGTGATAAAAATGAAACATAATAATAATTCTCAACAAATAATTTATATTGTAAAGATTAAATACTTAACAAGGAATATTATTTCCTACAATTCAAGTGTATAGATTAAATAGAATTTTATTATTTTTAAAAATGTAAACAATTAGAAGTATAAAACAGCTTTTCTTAATTTTCATAATTGTAAAAATTATTTTCTGTATGGAAATGAGCTCTCACAAAGAATTATCATAATATTTTTGTGAACATAGTAATTTTCCCATTTATTTGGTGCATATTTTAACATCATAAATATGACTATGTTACATGTGGCACTTACTGGAAGCCATACCCATTACAAATAAATACAGGGCCCACAGATATAGGATACAAAGTTTCTTTTTAGATAACTAGAAAATTCACCTTCTTTAGATTTAAAGGATTGTTGATGTTTAATTCAAAACATGCCATGCGTCTTAGTTTGCATTGAACCATAATCTTTCTTTCAGGTTACCAACTTTCTTCTCTGTATTCTTGCAAATGGGAAAATGATTCAAGTAGAGAGAAAAAACCCACAACAACCAAGGAAAAATTAAATGTTTTACTCTTCTTTTGAAAGTCCAGTCAGAAAGAAAAACAAATAGCATTGCTGTTCCCAAGTGAAATTGTTACTTCAAAGATAGCTGTCTGCTCAGCAGAATGTGATAGAGTTCTGTTTAAGCATATCTTTTTCTTCAGCTCTGAGAAAGAAAGTCACTTTGGAAGGAGGAGATGGTGTATACTCACTGTGAAATTAAAGAGATTGACTTTGGGTATCAATAGCTACAGATCCCCAGGAAGATCAGCCATGTGTCACAAAATTGGCCATGTCTTATTACAACAGAGACCAAACTTCACAACGCTAGAGAGCAGTCAACTATTTTTAGTTTTATTAGGTTCAGTGAAAAAAAAAAAAAAAACTAGCTAATTATATTGCATAAGTATAATCTAATGAAATATAGCAGAATTTGTGTTTACAGTTCAAATGTCAAAATTTGCTCTCTATCAATAAAGCATTTACTATGTTTATAATAATAATTTTGGATTGGAGGAAGGTTCTAAATGCTTTTTTTTTTTTTTTTTTTAATGGCAGTATCCAAGAAAAAAAGTAGCACAGCTCATGTTAACAAGAATGTCCCTTTAAGAATCTCTATGTATTGTGGAAATTCAGACAGGTAAGCTTTCATTTTTATCTTCTCTAATAGATTTTCCTCCAAAGAGAAAAATTCTAAATGTATTTTATGTAATCTACAACTAGGCTATTCATTCATCTCAGCAACAATAACAACAAACCTATCTTGTCAGCATGTTAGTATTTTCTTTATTGCTTAAATTTCTCTCACTCTTTTCAGTTACAAAAGGGATCAATTTAGATTAAATTAACTTTGCTATGTTTTTTCAGGACTGCTACCTACTATTTAGTAAAATGCCACACTCTATGAACAATGTACACATGGCTGTTAATAGTTCATGACATCAAAATCTCTCACACAAAAATGTTGAACACTTTAAAAACATGATTTAGAATAACAAAGGTTATAAAAAATGGAATTTTTAAGTCAATGCAGTCAATCTCTGATGGACGTAGTCTTTAAATAATATGTAATACAAAAAACATGAAGCGGCAAAATTTAAATGAATTTCTCATAATTATTACCTGAATTTTAAAAATATGATTTAGTTAAAAATGTGCAACCTACATCTACAGTTTTTCTGACTTTGCAGCACTAGCAATCTGCTTTCTTTTTTCCTCTATAATCAAAAGATGACAACTACTGTTGTAGCACGATATATGAAAATAATTTTAAGAAATAAGTAGGAACCAGGTACTCTACCAGCTAGCATGGCACCAATGTTTACCAAAATTTATGAAGTGCAATACCATGGGCTTTATTTACTGACAGCCGTGAAGTCAGCAGAATTAAAAAAGTAAATAAATTAAATCAGCATTTAAATACCTTACTTAGGATATTTACAATAACAAGTCTTATAACAAATGTGATCATGGATTACCTTCCCAAAATGGCTGTCAAGAAGGAAAGTTTGCTCAAAAACTATCAAAACTCATATACATTTGCATATGTATATATTTATGTAAAAACAGTTTACTTAACTGAATTTTCTTTATTTAAAGCTATATTAAATACTGCATAATGGTTTCAGTGAAATATAGATAAATCAACAATTTTTAAAAGGAAGATTAATCATTGTCATATGTTGAATACAATTAAGAGACTGATAACATGTGTAGGCGTTGTTCTTGATTTGCACAAATAAGAAAAATGTTTCTGCTGGGTCTAGAGTATTTTAGAATATTGCTAATAAGGTCAGTTTTAGTCTAGCTTAATTTCTACTAAGTTCAATTGATTAAGCTTATTAGCAAAACAATGAATTTATAATATTTGGCTTAGTTATTCATATTTTAAAATCATAATATCTATACTACATATTACCTTTTAAAAATATACATATCATAATGTGATAATATGAAAATAGTACTGACATGTTACCCTTTAAATAATATGTTTTCACAAGGATAAAAACAAATGTGAAGAATTTGGGAGGAGAGTATTGAACCAGTAATATGCAAAATGAGTAAGAGAAATGTTTGACGAAATTTACACATATTTGAAGTCAACTGGATGTAGGGAAAGAAAAAAAGCTATCACACTTTATTAGTTCTAAAATTTCTCCTGCATTAAGTTGTGTGCAAAATCACACACATGTAAGAGAAAAAGATGTTTTATTTTTTCAGGTAAAATAATCTGGAGAGTCATAAACTAATATTTTTAGCCTTTTAAAAGGTTTTGTGCGAAATTAAATCTTTTTAAGTTTATTAAACTTTTTCATTTAAAGTATTTAATATTTCTAACTTGAGAGAAAGATCAATTTTACATACTTGATTGTGTAAACTGGGCAGCATTTAAATTGTTGATTTAAAGCAATACAAATAATAAAATAGAAAATAGCAATTAACATTTTTTTCTTACCTCTATGTTTATTGTAGTAGATTGATAAGCTGCTTCTTTGGTGGAATTAGTCTATCAGCACCTCAAAGAGTTCTATTCTTTATGCTACTGTCTTCTTTAGTTCATTATTTCTTCCTCTACAAAAGGATAGTCCACCAAAAGAGGAAGTTGTGAAACGCCTGTCATTATGCTTTATATATTCTACTCAGAATAGCAAATTATTGACAAAACTTTCACTTGGAGTCACAGAAATAAGTCTCTGTAATCTGTGTCCATCTCTCTATAAAAGCGAATGCATGTACATATTCATATGTTAAGGAATTTTTAGAAAATGAGTTATTAAAACCTTTGCCTTATTAAATATTGTTCATTTACCTCAGGAAATTTCTCCTATGAGGCTAAATGATAATCATAGAAAATCAGAAAATATTGTGATATGCAGAAGAAAATTGTGGAACTGACATTGGGAATAAACTTGTTCTTATGTGACTAATCTAAATGTCTTAGAGTATGAGCTAAGTGCTGCTTTGCCTCTAAGAATCTTGTAAGCAGAGAGAGAGAGAGAGAGAGAGAGAGAGAGAGAGACAGAGAGACCAACTTGAGAAGCCAACTTTAGTAAATAGACGTTTTCCTGGAATTTGGGGTGGGTGTTTTTTTTTTTACCTATAAGTCTTAAACTTCCTTTCTCATGAAGACTTGTCTGTTGCATATAGATAAAGCATTGCAAAACTGAAACTGTTACTTCTTCATAATCTCTCACAACTTCAGCCGCAAGAGTGAAAAAACAGGTGCAGATCATGCAATACTGAGCATTTATCAGTTAAGTTTCTTATAGGTTAGAACACAAAATGAAAATATTTACTGGCCAGTGGAGAGAATGCTTGAAAACAGAATAATACAGTTGTAAAGACAGATAGGGTGGTACTTGCCAGTATCCCAACATTCTAGGAAAACAACGAAGGAGGACCACAAGTTAGAGCACAGTCTGGAAAACTTACCAAGATCCTGTCTCAAGACTAAAAAACACAATATGAGCTAGATATATAGCTCAGTACAAAGACCCTGGGTTAATCTCAAGATGGTACTGGAAACAAAACCCTTGAACAAAGAAGATATTGTCAACCTCCATCTTTGTCTCTGTCTCTCTCAATCCCTTCCTTACCCTTTCTGTCTACATCTTTCCCCATGTAGATATATCTTTTTCCTAGGTCCAAGTCATCAGATATCAAAGCTAAAAAGCTTGGCCAACTGATAGCAGTTCCTCCTCATAGCCCCTCCCCTTCTTGCTCACTGGGGAAGTGGAACGAGGTGGATTGCAAGTGTAGCATAGTATTTATACCAGCATTCATACAAACTGACATGCTACCAGGATATGGCATTCTTTACTTTTTATTTAACCATATATCCAAAAAGGGCAGTAGATTAAGGAATGACTAAAAACAGAAATTCACTCTACCTAGACTCATATTTAATGTGGATTGACAGGAGTTAAATACCACTAAGACAAACTAAGAAAACTGCTCCCCTGAAAACACTATAAAAAGAAAGCAACAAAATAAATATAAGGCACAACTACAAAAATAAAAAAAGTGTCAACAATATCGTTTGAATTATTTAATTAGATAGTTGTTCAAAAATCCTTGAAAAAATCTATTGATGTGATTACGGTTACTTATAGTATGTGTTTAGATAAAAATTGAGGTAGTATTGCATATGAGTATTCTTACTTATAGAAGTATAACCCTTAGTACCCGTGTTGGTATCATAGTATCCTCTTCTGTTTGTCATGCCTTTCTGAGATTTTATTTACAAGTGGACAACCACAGTCTGAAAACATTTAATAGGAAATTACAGAAATAATATTTAAGTTGCACAGTATTGCAACCCATATAATGAGATATTGTGCCATCTGCATCATACAGCATATGAACGATCCCTTCATCCTCTGTACACTATTCATCCCTGAATTATTTAACCAACTTAGATAGCAGATGCACTGTCACAGATGCTGTACTTGTGTTTAAATAATCCTTATTTTACTTAGTAGTCTCCCAAGGGTGCAGTGAAGATGACAACTCCAATATGCCAAAATGAAGTTGGAAAAATGCTTCTTTGAAAGGAAAAAGGCAAATGTCTTAATAGGAAAACAATATATAGGTGGAGATTAAAATCCAGATAAGAACAAAAAAGAAAATCAACATAATATTTATAGAGTTTATTACTGTTCAGCTTCTGATCTCCACTGGGGTGTCCTAGAACATGTGCCCAGCTGTTCAAGGTGAATGGTTATAATTTTAATATGCTTGTTTAATATTTGTGTTCCTTTTACCTGAATGGTGGATGTATATCTCTGCTTCTTTGATGATCACTTGTCAATGGTAAATATTGCTCAGTTTTTTCTATCTTTAGGTTTCTTCTATCTCCGCTGACTTGCCCCATTTATTTTTCTTCTGAGCTTTTTGAGAAAACATTCAATGTTGATTCCATTAAAGTCCTCATATCTTTTTTGGTGGGTATTTTAGAATATATATAACAAAATTTATCATTTTAACTATGTGTAAATACAGAGTTCTGAGGTCTTAAGTACTTTCATATTATTGTGCTTTTAGTGTGACAATCCATTTCCAGAAGTTTCTCATCCTTCTGGACTAATATTAAGTGCTCCTTATGTAGCAACTCCTGTTCCTCCCTTCACTTATACTGACTACTAAGTTAGTCAGCTTCTTGTTACTGTGACAAAATACTTGAGAAAATCTACCTGAAGAAGGAAAGTTTATTTTGCATCATGGTTTCAGTCCCATGCTTTTCTGTCTCCATTGCTGTGGGTCTCTGGCAAGGGAAACATCATGGCAGAAGACATTGTGGTTGAAGGTTGCTCAGCTCACAGAAACCAGGAAAAAGAGGAGAGAGCCAAAGAGTAAAAGAACAGGACAAGATACCATCCCTAAAGTCACACCCTGGTTACTGGTGTTCCTTTTAACTAGGTTTCAATGCAGCTCTGAAGTGATCAATGGATTCATCTCTTGTTGGAGTTAAAGCCCCTACAATCTGATCAGTTTCCAGAAGTTCCACCTATGAATGTTGCTGCATTGGGACCAAACTTTCCAGACAGTAAGCCTTTAGAGGGACATCTTAGAGAAAACTATAACAACTACCACTGTATTTTTTGCCTTTGTGAATTTGACTATTCTAGTACTGCATAGAATCACATCTGTCCCCTTGTTTCAGGGTCAAGACCCTAGCATGTGCCAGAATTTCCCTCAAGGCTGAATAGTGCTCACTTGTGTATATGTTGTATTTTTCTTACGAATTCACCTATACTGGTCAGTTGGATTGTTTTGACTTTAGGCTATTGTGAATAACATTGCTATAAACATGAATGCACACATACTGGTATACATTCCTGGTTTTACTTCTGGATGTGTACCCACACATGCAATGGGGTCATATGGTAATTTTATATTTCGTATTTGGAGGAACTGCCATTCTATTTAAATCCACCTCTTTGCTTCACACTTCTCCATTTTGCATTAGGGTCCCCCCCCCCACTACTCACTATAACTTTCGCGCCAAATTCTCTTTGCGCTACCAAATCAAAATGATACCTCCAAGCCCTGTCATAAGACCTTTTTCAGCGCATATCTGCTGCTAACCATTTCTTTCTTCTGGAAGGAACTTTAGTTCTTGACTTCATTTTTGCTTTCTGCCTATATGTCAACTTGCTGTCTAATTTTCTTACAGAAGTCTTTAATTACACGGCTCTGGTGATTATTCCCCCTTTTCAGGATTCTATCTGCCCTCCTGACCCACCATCTCCTCAGAATACTTTCATGGTTTCAGTTAGCAAGTATAAATGTCTGCTAAATTTCTCTCTTCTACACAGCTATCTCCCCGGAGATATCCTGACCAGTGCAAAATGAAAGATCATTTTGCTTTGTGATCCAGAGAACAGCATCTGCAAAGAGGCTTCAAGGTCACCCTGAATTGCTTTTTCAACATCAAGCAAGTCAGCAACTGCCTCCTCACCAGTGAGGAGGGATAATGCCTTTGATGGCCATGTAAGAGGGTTACTGAAAAATTATAAAACAAAAACAAAGACCTTATTCATAGTTTATAGTATAAAAAATAATGCTAAAGGGCCAGGGATATAGCTCAGTGGAACAGCGCCTGCCTGGCAAGTACAAGGTCTTAAGTTCAATTTCCAGTGTCTAAATAAATAAATAAAATAAAATAAAATAATGCTAAAGTTAGTGTCCATTCTATCTCTCTCTAATGCGATTTTCCTATAAGAAGTATAGTAAGTTTGTATATTTTTACGGACCTGTTTCGTATGAAATCACATATGTGACAAAATATGAAGAATAAAATACCTATTACCTGAAGAATTAAATATTTTTGTGGAATATTAATGTAAATAAAATTTTGTTGTGTTTTTCATTGTCTTTTTTTAGATGTGCAACTTGAAGGTACTACTAAGAATTTACTTTAAACTACTTTATGTATATCTAATTTCCCCACTGATTGAATTTTACTTTTTTGCAATTCAAAACCATGTGATCAATAATGCATAACAAAGACATTTTAACAATTCTTTCTCTTAAGATGGGCACAAAAAAGTAGTATCTGAAGACTAGAGTTGTGATACATTTAAAATGTTAATTGTAGTTACTGAATGCTACAAAGTTTAACCAGTTTAAATATCCAATATTTCCTGGTTTTACAAGCTATTACCAATATTTGATATAAACAAATCTTTAAATTTCACCAATCTGAAAGGTAAAAATTTGGTGATTAAATTGGAGATCGAACATGTTTAATGTAGTGTCCATTTTATATTTCCTGTTTTGTGAATTTCCTGTCCATTCATCCCTGACATCTGCTTGTACAAATGTAATTGTTTGCTTCTTATTGATTTCTAGGGTTAAAAATACATTTTGCTTCAGTACATTGCAAACATTCTTTTTAAATGTGTGTGTGTGTGTGTTTTTTTTTTTTTTTTTTTTTTTTTCTTTTTTATGGTGTCCCAATTTCCCTTTGTACTTTTTGGGACCTTTCTTGTTGAGTACTAACTATGGTGTTATGGGTTGTGTCTACATGTCCCTCCAAAGCTTTGTGCAGTGATGGATGGCAAGTTTTCAGAGGCAGCTGGAGGTACAGTGTATAATGGGGAATTGATTCATGATGAATGCTAAGTTCAAAGGCACTGGGATTGAAGCTGTGAGGGCTATCGGCCCAAAGTAGCCTGGATAATAAATAAGGGATAGAAAGAGCTGTGGTGTAGCCCTTGTTTGTTTTGCTATCTTCTTCTCACCATGAACAGATTCCCTTATATAGTGCCTGTCTGCCACACCGTCCTGCCTTGGAGCCAGTTGATTATGGACTGAAGCTTCAACAAACTGTGAGCCAAATAAACCTTTCCTCCTTGAACTTATAAGAAAAGTAACTAAGACATGTATCTTTACAGATGACCCTAATATTTGGTAATATCCTTGCTTTCTGTCACAAGATAACCCGACTCATTTTGTGTATTTCCTGTCCCATACCTAAAATCCACACATCTGTAATGGACTGTGGCTTTTTTAGTGACCCAGGATTTTTTGAGACCACAACCAAACCTTAACACTGCTGATTACTATTGGGTTATCATTAGTATTAGAAAAAACTTGCTTAGGCAATAAACTGTCAGTTTCCTTTCTCTGCCAAGCAACGTATCACTGCAAAAATATTTAAACTGTTATCAGGAATTTTCTAACATTACAATAACTTCTATAATTTATAATATTAATAATTTTATAGACATTGCAATTTAAGATTAATAAGTCTACTAAATATAATAATATCTTTCCAAATAAAAACTAGGCAGTATTTTCTTATGAAAGGCTGTTTCAACAGAGACAGTAACATAGTAAATCATTATTTACATTTAGAACTTTGAAAATACCTTGCCAAAGAATTTTCAAAAATCATGTAATTTGCAAGAGCTTTTTGTTTTTTTCCATTTTTCATACATACATATCATTATTCCAATATTTATAATTTTAAAATTTTTGTTATTACTAGCTGAACATTTCTAAACTGGTTATCTGCAATCTGAAATGTTTCAAAATTAGAACTGTTGGGGGCTGCTCAGTGGCATAAGCACCTGCCTGGCAAGCATGAGGTCATGAGTTCGATCCCCAGTAGCCAAAAAAACCCAAAAAAACTACAAACAAAAAACCACACACATACACACACACACACACACACACACACACACACACACACACACCCCAAAATCAGAACTGTTTCAAGCATTGGACACAATGCCACATGTGGAAAATTTTTCACCTGATTTAGTGAAAGCTCATAGAGTATTACATAAAATTATCTTCTAGGTACATTAACATGATGTATATGAAACATAGACAAATTCTCAGTTTAGACTTGGGTGATAAATTCAAGATATCTCACTGTGTACATGTAATTAGCCCAAAATTCTAAAAAAAAAAAAAGTCTGAAATCTGAAACAGTCCTGGTCCCAAGCAATTCTTATAATGGATAATTAACCTGTATGTACTTATCACTTACAAGTATCAACCAATTGGGCATATGTCCTAGATAAATGATTTTGAATAAACTAAAATAAGTATTTCATGGTTTTAGACTCTGCTTTTTTCTCAAGTCATACATATTAATGGCCACTTTAAAACTACTGAAGTAACAATGTTTCAACTGCTAGCTGCATAGTTCAGTGATGATAAAAGTATTTCTGGTTCATTGATTTTATTTTTAGCTTGTTAAAGGAATGATTTTAATATTTTAGAATTCATATTTTGCTGTTTTTTGAATTTAGTTAATTGAAGAGGAAATTATCATTGAATATCTATGAACTTTAATCTATGAACTTTAATTTCTTTATTCATAAAAGGGAATGAGAATTCCAGCTTTATTGGTGTGCTCTGAGGATTAATTGGACATCATAGGTAAAAGGCCAAGAAGAACATGTTCCCTGATAAGTATGGTGCTGATAATTTCCAAATCTAATTTGATATAAATGATTGAACTAAAAGTTCTAATCTGGGGATTTGTTTGAAAACATTGCAAATGTTTACAAATGCAATTATATCTAGTTCTATACACTACATTCGTGTGTTTATTAAGAAAAATGAATTCATACAAGAAGGCATGTAGGGAAATTGTGGAGAATCATTCATCTATTCATATTTTTAATCTGAATATGTAGAGTTATTGTAGACCTGGGAATATTGAATGAATTAATGGACCTTACAGGTTACTTGTCTTGCCTTCTGCACACCCTTTCTTTGGCATAGAAGCCGATTTCTTCATTCTTACCCTCTTCATTCTGGCTACGGTGAGCCAATGGAGGTAACAGGACTTGGAGAAGAGAGAATTTGGAGTTTATGTACCCCCTTCTTCCATGCAGGGCACAATTTTGGAAGTGGCAACATTCCTTTACCTACAGGTATATCTCCTATCTGTTCCTTGTCCTTAGCTTTGGTTCTGACAAGGTTCCAGTGACATGACTCTTCCTTGCTTTTCGAGATACAGTAGCTTGGATTGCCCACTGTTTCTAACTTCTGGGTATTCTATCCCCCCACCTCAGTTACTCCTGCTCCTAACTATACCTCTGAATAATTATTTCATTAAATCACCTGAATGTGTTACTTTTGAATGTACCACCTCAAGAAGACTTTACTCAAGAGCTATCCTGGCCCTATACTGCAATCAAATTGTACAAATTGCTTTGAATTTGATACAATGCAAGGTATACAGTTTCAGAGGAAATACAAAAGTGGAAAATTATATGTGTCCTAGATTAGATGAATTGAGTATTTTAAAAAATAATAATTTCACTGAGATTTGAAGGATGAGTAGAACTCATCCTTCATGAGAATTTGGGGGTGAGAATCAAATTAGAGAGGTACAGAGTTCAGGCAGAGTGCCATATTCATGGAACATGTAGTTTGGAAGGTATAAACAAGGAGGTCTACTGACATGCTAAGAAAACACGAGAGAAAACAGAAAAAGAGGCATCAGAAAATAAGGGCATTGTGAAACACATGGTCCTGAAAATGTCTTCTGAAGAAGAAAATAAAAAAGGCTGGTGTGTTGCTCAGTGATACATTACTTGTTTAGTGTGTAGAAAGCTTTGGGCTCAATCCCTAACACAACAAAAAGAGGCATCAGACAATGAAGGGCGTTATAAAGAATGTGGTCCTGAGAATACTCTCTAGGAGGAAATAAAAAAGATAAGGGTGTTACTTAGTGGTAGAGTATAGGCTTCATATGTGCAAGGTTCTGGCTTCAATGCACAGAACAAAACAAGCAAAAATGTATAGTACGGGCAGTTGGTTTTGTTGAATATTTTCCTACCCAAGTGTTTAACGGTGTACCTATGTGATTAATGCCTGATAAATAAATTATATCCTTTTCCCTTTGCTGCAGTGTGTGGTTCAAAGATATTTGATTCAAACAAACCAGAAAAATTATTTCTGGAAAATTTAAGCTCTGCTTTTATTTGATTGGCTTAACTGTAATAATTATGTAACTCTGAAATGCTGAGGGACCACTGTAATAATAGAACCAACAAAATAAGGAGGCCAACACGAGGGAAAGCAGACCTGAAAGAGAACAAGAAGAAAGAGACTGAATTCCAATGACATCACCGGAGTCCTTGACCCAGCTACGCCTGCCTCCGTAACTCTCTTCTGTTTATTTACTAAGCCAACACATTCCTGTTTTCCTCGCAGACCTGTTTAAATTAGATTTCTGTCATTTATAACCAAAAGAGCCTCTATATATTCTAGAGAAGAGGCCATGTTTTATTTGGAGTATAAAATATCAAGAAAAGCAAGCTTTTCCTTATTCCTCAATTGGAACTGTCCAACAGAAATACTATGAGAACTACATGGATCATTTAAAAGGTTCTACTCATTACATTAAAGAAAAAAAGGGAAAACATATTTTAATAAAGTATTTTATTTATTCCAATGTGTTAAAATACAATTATTTCAATACATAGCAATATAAGAAAATCATTTTTACTTTTAAATGTAAACTTAACTTAAAATTAACTTAAAATTAAAAGATTCAATTTTGAGATATACTTACCATATTTCAAGTGCTCAACAGCATTGGACAGCATAACCCTAAGTGTAGATCCTAGAGTACAGACAGTAGAGTAGCCAGCAGAAACAGATCTTTGATTCAAATTATAGAGTTTCAGACTGAGAAGATGTTTTTTGT